TTTTAATAAATATATTGTATTTCAAAGGATATTGAAAAAATTCCTTGCCATTCACTCCTCAAGACTCGAAATGGTCTCTGTAATGTCCTAGTGCAATTTGCAAGCTGGCTAACTAGCTCATACCTTTATAAATGTCCTTTTTTAAAGTATATCTAATGAATATAATAGCCACAGTGAATGTGCTTATTTCAATAGTGGTCATGCAGGAGCTCTTTTTAATGAAACCATCTTTATTTAAAAAAAACCCACCAACACTTTCATAAATTTTAAATAAGAAAAAACATTAATAGTCCTCTTTCTTTTTATATTTGGCTTAATACACACATTTTAGTCACCGTTTTTAATAATATAGATGCTCATTTTCCTTTCCAGAGATCAAAACTCCGCTCTGGCAAGTGCTGAACGAGCAGGCGCTCGAGCTCGGCCATACCCCAGGGAGGCGAGAGCGGCCGTGTTTGGCACAGCCCATTTGGGACAGGCCATCTTTGGGGACAGCCCGGTCAAAACCGGGACTGACAATCCGAGGTACCTGTGTACACATCGCGTGACGTTGGCTGCCGCTCGGGTTCCTGAGCACCGTGCTTCGCCCTGCGGAGCCAAGAACCCGCTCCAGCGCAATGAGGGAAAATGGATTTGGTAAGATTTGCGGTATTTAAGTTGCTGGGTATTTAATGGCTGTAACTATTAATTTTTGAGACTGTACACGCATCATATATATACACACACACACTATATCTACGCACACATCTATAAATGTGTGTGTGCGTGCAGATATGCTGGGTTTCGTGACTGTCAGTACGATACCTTGCCATCGCCATTGTCCCTGTCCAGACAAGGCTGGCAGGGTGCAGGTGACCCCCTGCCCAGGGCAGCGGTGCGGGCGCTCTCCGAAAGCTCCAGGAGCACTTGGGGTCCCCCATTAGATGTCGATGGGAACGAAGCCCCCCCCCGACACAGTGGTGAAGAACCCGAATCTCTCCAGAAATGACACTCGGGTTTAAAACACGGAAAGGTATTGCGTGCCCTGCTCGACTCGCCCCGGGGAAGAGCTGAGAAAGGTCAGCCTTGGCCTGCGCCCCGCAGCTTTGGGGTCTGCCCGGCCCCGAGCTCCCCCTCAGCCCTGGGCTCGGCACGGCTTCCCTCAACCTCATGTGCCCCTCAGCCCGCGGGGACCCTCTCAGCCCCGCAGCTCTCCTCAGCCTTCCGTCCCCCTCAGCCGCCGGCTC